GGGCCTTGGAGTTCCTCGGTGGTCAGCTCGGTGCTGTGGTCCCCCCCAACTCCTCCACGTCACCACCATCCACCTCCAAGCCCAGGGGCTTGCCCAGAGAGAGAATATCTTCCACAACAGACACAGGCTCGTCCTCAAAGCCCTCAGAGTCTCTTCCAGCAGCAGACTCAGGCCACAGTTTCTTCCAAGCTCACTGCACGGTTGTGGAAGATAATCTCCCACATGCTCTATGAGCCTCAAGCAAGTGAGGATATTAAAATGTTCCTTCCAGAACTGCCTGAGGGTTAAATTAGCTTCAGAGGTCACCTCAAAACGCCTCTGAAACAGTGCCTTTGTGTGAATTTCTTAAAATTAAGAATGACCTGCTGGTCCATAGTCTCAGTGAGAGGAGTTGTGTTAGGTGGCAAGACCTTAACAGTGATGAAGCTGTACTCCCCCCAGCCTGGAGGTGGGCAGGATCATTTTCCATTACAGGAATTGCCCTGAGTGGCAATTGTTTTTCCCAGAGGTATTTCTTCACACTCTAGGCAAACACTTCATGAATCCACTCAATAAAAAATTGCCTGGATATCCGAGCTTTACTATTAGCCCTCCACATCACATTCTTATTTTTCATGACATTATTTTTCTTGGAAACTCTGGTTTTCAGAATGGTAGACAAGTGGAGGCTTCAATCTAAAGTCCCCACTTGCGCCCTAGCTGGTTTGGCTCAGTGGTTAGAGTGTCGGCCCACAGACTGAAGGGTCCTGGGTTAGACTCCAGCCAAGGGCTCGTACCTCGGTTATAGGCTCAGCCCCAGTCCGGGTGCATGCGGGAGGCAACCAATCAATGTGTCTCTCTCACATTGATGCTTCTCTCTCTCCCTTCCACTCTCTCTGAAAAAGCAATGGGAAAAATATCCTCAGGTAAGGATTTAAAAACTAAATAAAGATAGATGATAGATGATAGATATAGATAGATAGATAGATAGATAGATAGATAGATAGATAGATAGATGATAGTTAGATAGATAGATAGATGATAGATAGATATAGATGATAGATAGATGGATGATAGATAGATAGATAGATAGATAGATAGATAGATAGATAATAGATGATAGATAGATGATATAGATAGATGATAGATAGATAGATGATAGATAGATAGATAGATAGATAGATAGATAGATAGATAGATAGATAGATAGATAGATAGATAGATAGATAGTAGATAAAAATAAAAAATAAAGTCCCCACTCACATTCCCACACAGCAATAACATCAGTCCGTCCCTCATTGGCTTGTGTCCTGGCCATGACTTCTCTTCCTGTGTGATGTGGATCCTTTGGCATTTTCTTCCAGAAGAGGCCTGTCTCAACACAGTTGACCACTTGCTGGGGAATAAATCCTTCGGCCTCTACGTATTCTTGAAATTCTGTCACAAAATCAGCAGCAGCTGCTTTGCTAGACCTGGCAGCCTCCCCATGTCTCATTATACTATGAATGCCACTTACTTTCTTAAATTTATCAAACCTCCCCCTACTGGCCTTTAATGAACCACTTTGAGCACTCATTCCAGGAGTGTCTTTCAGGAGGTCAGCATGCAGCAGCTTTGCTTTTTCACATATCATTACCTCTGAAATGCTATCGCTGGCTGACTGCTTTTCGTTTATCCAAATCAACCACAATTTTCTTACCTCTTCAGTTGCCTATTATCATTGTTCCATGAGCATTTTCACATCCTTAGCAACACCAGCACTCTTGATGGTCAATTTGTGTTTTAAAGTTGTGCTAATTGTTGATTTCGCTATGCCATACTCGGTAGCCAGGTCAGACATTCAAAAACCATTATCATGCTTTGCAATTTTTTTTTTTTAAGCTCTATCTTTGTTATCACAACTTTCGTTTTCACTTTGCTGCTATCACTAACCTTCTTAGGACATGTGGTGACTTACTATATGTATTTAATAATAATAAGCAATAACAAAAGCAAAAAAACGCACACCGTGAAACAGCATAATTTCCTGAGATGTTAACACCAGGTTTAGCAGTAAACTGACTCATACTCATGCATTCTCTCCTTTGCTTGTCGCCTGAGAGGGTTGTTGGGTCGAAAATTGAAGTTTTGTTTGACAACTGAGACCTTTTTTCCATGAACTTGATCAAGAAGAGAATTGTTTGAGATGGGAGATGTTTTAGAACCAAGGTTTGACTGTGCTTTCTGAGAGGGACAGGTTTGGAGGTGGGAACATTGAATTCAGTTGTGGTAATATTAACTTATCTATGTTATCTATGGAATACCAAGGTTAGTATATATTTAATAATCAGCTGTATATTTAAGTTTGAACTCGGGAGAGGTCAAGACTTTAAACATGGTTTAAGGAATTATTGAGAGAGAAAGGGGAGAGAGAGACAACAAATGGGGTGTACAGAGTGCATATGGGATGAGAGAAACCATTGGTTGAAGATGAGTCCTTGGAGAGCAACAACATTTAAAGAGAGAAAAAAAGAAGAGGATCCCATGGACAATACTGAGAAAAAAGATGCAAAAAGACAGGGAGTGATAACAGAAAGATGGAGGAGAAAACCCAGGAGTTGGTTAACATTGCCAAGACCAGCCAAGGGTCAGAACGGAAAAGGATCCTTTGCATTTGGTAGCAAGAACATTAGAAAAGTTGTTTCTATATATATATTTCAATAGAGTCTTTGAGGGCAGAAAACTGATAGCTGTGGGTCATCAGTGAGGAATGAGAAGAGATAAAAATAGCTAATGTCAACTACTCTTTTTAATAAACATTAATTTAAAGAAGGAACCAAAGAAAAGATACGGAATCAAGGCAGCAACTTTTGAAGGAGGGAAGGACTTGAACACACGTGGCAAACATTGCTTTTCTTCTATTGCTAGGCACTGAATTGTGTCCCCCAAATTCAATATATTGAAGCCCTAACCCTAAGACCTCAGAATGTGACTGTGTTTGGAGACAGGGCCTTTAAAGAGGTGATTAGGTTTAAATGAGGCTATTAGCCTGGGCCCCGATCCAATCTGACTCCTGTGTCCTTCTCAGAAGAGATTAGGACACACGGAGAGACCTTGGGGCGCATGCAGAGAGACGAGCATGTGAAGAGGGAAGCCAAGAGAAAACCAGCCCTGCCAGCACCTTGATCATGGGCTGCCAGCCTTCAGAACTGTGAGAAAGTACATTTGTGTGGTTTAAGCTGCCCACTCTGTGGTGTTTTGCTATAGCAGCCCTAGCAGACAAATACACCTACGCACTGGCCGTTCCTCACCACCCCCTGCACCCCACATGGCTCCTTGCTAAAAAGAACCCCAACTGTGTTCAGACCGGAGTGAGCGCCCCACTAGCACATGAGTTATGATGTGATTAAGCTGATCTGTTTCCATTTCTCTCCCATTAAGCCAATTAGAAAGTGTCAGTTTGCTGCTTCCTCGCCTTCCATCCTTCATGGGCGAGTTTATTTCTCACCCAGCTAATCTTCCCTCTCTGCTCACCTGCCGCCCCCATCCCTGCTCAAGGCAGGAATAGAGTCTTTGCTCCATGAGGTCCAGCTGGTCCTTTAACTTGCTTTGGCCGATGGGCTGTTAACCAGAATGATGCGAACAGGGCTTTCAAATGTGCTCATGTGGTCTGACTTCATCTGCGGTGCTTCTGTCATTCATCACGAGAAGAATGTGCCTGGAGAACGGCTGGTCCCAGAAGGAAAGGCTCGTGGATCAGACAGAACCCCAACCCACAGTCTGAAGCTGAGCCGCCCAGACACCCTGCAGGTGAGTGAGAAAGAAGTGTGTGTTGGTTTAAGCCGCTGAGGAGCGTTTGTTACGCAACATCATTACAAAAAAAAAGAACTGACAAAAGCTTAATTCTCCTTTTTAACAAAAAGAGACCAAGACTAGTCTCAAATAATTGTCAGGCAACCGTATCCAAATGGGATTTAAGAGCAATAGCAATTTGTGCTTTCATTGTATGCACTTTTTTAAAGTATGTTTTTATTGATTTTAGAGAGAACGAGGGAGAGAGAGAGAGAGAGAGAGACATTGATGTGAGAGAGAAAGACATCAATCAGCTTCCTCCCTCATGTCCCCGACTGGGCATCGAGCCTACAGCCTGGGCATGTGCCCTGACTGGGAATCGAACCAAGGATCTCTCAGTGTATGGGCCGATGCTCAGCCACTAGGCCACACTGGCCAGGGCTCATTGTATGCATTTTTAATTTCTTCCATTGTGGCAATTAAAATTATTTTTAAGTTATAGTGGTGGTACAGTTTTGTTTGAGTGATTAATATATGTTTTGTGCCCGGCCGGGCGTGGCTGAGCGGTTGAGCATCAACCTAGGATCCAGGAGATCGCGGTTCGATTCCTGTCAGGGCACATGCCCAGGTTGCGGGATCGATCCCCAGTCGGGGGCGAGCAGGAGGCAGCTGATCAATGACTCTCTCATCATTGATGTTTCTATCTTTCTCTCTCTCTCTCTCTCTCTCTCTCTCTCTCTCTCTCTCTCTCTCTCCCTTCCTCTCTCTGAAATCAATAAAGATATATATATATTTTAAAGTATATGTATATATCTTTTGTTTTGTATTTAAGTTTTTAGGGAATCAATGAAAAGACAAATATTGAGTAAATAAGAATGTAGGTAACAGTTGCTTATAGTAAAAAACAAAAAAAAATGAAAAAAAGAACAGAAAATTAGGGTGAGGCATGGATGGCTGAAGTTGGAGAAACAATAGAGTAAAAATGGGACAAAATTACAGAAGAGAAGGGAAAGGATGGGACCAAAATGAAAACCAGAAGGAAAAGACAAATAGTGTCATTGTACCTACAAAGAAGTAGCCAAAGATCAGAGAGAAAGGTAGCTAACTTTTGAAGGCTATGAGTTTGAGTTCTAGTTCTGCCACTGCAGAAGAATGCCTCGCTCACCCTGAGCCTCAGTTTCCTCATCTGGGAAATAGGAGAGACCCCGCATCATCAGGGGGTGTAGTAGTGATTCGTAGAGAGCATGCCTGTGGAAGGAGCTCGCAGCGTTCGGGTAGACAACTAAGAAGAGGTGAATGTTTGAGAGGAGCGAGCGTGAGAGCCAGAGATGGGGCCTAAAGAGTGAACGCCGCCTCCGCAGTCAGACCTGCGGTCAGGGTGCGCACCACAAACTGGCCGCATGAACTCTGAGCAGAAGCAGCCTCTGATTTCATTTCAGGTACCTTTTACTAAAGCTTCAGTCCACCAAGAAAGCCAGCCTGCCCGCAGGAGAGACTGGAAGGGAGGCGTGAGCAGAGAAGGAGCATTTGCTCAAAAGAGGGGGGCGGTTAGAGAAACTAAGACCCGGCTGTTTGATGCAGTTGTTACCAAGCAAGGGCTCTCTTCCAAGGTGCATAAAAGCCAACATCATGCCACCAGTTTTTGAGAAAAAAAGAAAGCTTTATTGTGAAGCTGACCAGCAAGGAGACAGGAGGCAACCCAGGGTTCAATCTCCCTGATCCAGGTTTTGGGGCATGATTTAAGGAGTCAGCACTGAATCTTCCTGGACAATGGACCCTGAAAATATTCCAAAGTTCATTCTGGGGCGGGGTGGGGGGGATTTTGGTTCCTGGGGTAATTTGTAACATTTTTCCCTCTGCCGCATGACTTGCAGTTTTCTTCTGAAAAACAACTCAGTGTCTTGGAAGAAACAGAATAGGGCCATTTGAGCTGGTTCTGTGGTCACAGAGTCATGACTTAAAAATTTTAAATCATTCTTTTCTACCCACTGAGGAGTATCATTCCATCTCCCACACTCCCCCAGGGTCTCAGTACCCTAAAAAGAAGAGAGTTCTGGAGTAAGAGAAACAGAGACCCCTGGGGCTGTGCGCTGAATGAAGAGCCCACCCTGCAGTTGGTCTGGGAGGTTCAGATTCCCCAGCAGGCTGCGCAGATGACACGCGAGAACGTGAGATCCGAAACCTGTAAGGCAGAAAGGGCCCCACAGAGGGCACCATCCTGAAAGAACCTTTGCTGTTTCCTTTTATCATTTATACGTTATTGACCTTTGCACATGGATAACACCAAAGATGTTCTGAAAAATGTTAAAGGGTGTCCACTAAACGCCCTCCCCCCACTGCTATCACCTTCTACTCCCTAGAGGAAAAGAATGCCACCGTTTTTGTGTGTGACTCCTTTCAAAGATCCCTGCGGGGCACTTGAAGAGAGGCGGATGGTAGGGAGCTTAGTTGGTTTTCTCCCTCCTTACTCAGATTGTTACTGGTGGAAGTGGGGTACCCCTTTCCCTGCTGGGGGGTGGTCCTTACAATACCTTAAGAAAAAGAATTTTCTGAGACTCGCATGGGAAGATAAGTGATTTTTATTTGTGTGAAATTACATCCCTGGGTTTCCCAAGACCAATTTCCCTTAATCCAGTTCTGGAAGAAGTGTACCTGGGGCTTCAGCAAAGCTAGAAGCAAAGCCAGTGTCCAGAGTTTCAGTTCCATGTTGAAATGGGGTCCGGTACAGCATCAGGCTAGCTGCAGTCCATTATTCCATTGTGTGTGGGGTCCGCATGTCTGTCAGCCATGTGGGTGAGTGCAGGGGAGCCAAGAGAGAACACCCCCTGCAACAAGAGTGCCAAGAGAACCAAGAGCAACCAAGACACTGAGAGAGACCAGGAGCACCAGAGAGCGAACTCCTTTGTTTAGGGAGTTGAGTATCTCAGATCATCCTCAGCTTGCAGTGGCCACCCCTACTCTGGCCAGTGACCTGTTCCCAGGTGTGGCTGACAAACAAGTACCTTCCCTATGTCACCCAGACTTCTCTGGTCATATGTCTATTCTCCCCTTCTCCAGTCCCTTCCCCAGTGATCTGTGGGGAATAGACCGGTGGCTCCCTGGGGAGTATTAAACTGCAGCTTCCTGGCAAAGCTGCACAAATGGCATGCCTATATTTGGCCTTCCCTTTGCTCCTTTCCTGTTATTTTAATAACTAGGTTAATTACAACGGTATCAAGACTGTGTTAAAATTTGCACCCCATTGGAGCTCCCTCTGGCCGCCCCCTAGAAAAGAACTCACTGTCCCTCAGGTCCCTTCTTCATCTCCCCAGCAGTGTGGGTGGAACAGGAAACGCCTCAAGAAGCTCCATCACGGTGGTCCTGACTTGGGCTTGTGGGTGTGTACTTCAGTCAACATTATCCCCAAAGCCGGATGCTATCCTGGTGTTCAGCAGTTGGTCCTCCTGCCTGGTCCTGGTCACTTGGGATGGTAAAAGCCCAGGGCATTTACTTCCCAAGGAGCCCAGGATGGGACACCCAAGGACCCGGACAGCAGACCAGTTCTTCGTGGCTCTAGGACCGACCTAGGAATAGTGAAGGCACATGGCATGAAGGTGGATCTCAACTAGAACAATCTCAGAATGTTCTGAAAATGACATCTTTCCCCCAATGTTCTGGACTGCGTAGGAGGGAGTGAGTTCCCTGTCACTAAAGAGCTTCTTGTTGGATCAGATTTCTGATTTCTAAGTTCCCCATTTCCTTCTAGAGATGGCACCAGGCAAAGGTTGAGCTTCTTGGGCCCAGCAAGACCTGATAAGTGATCTAATAAGGCTCAGTTGTCAGGATGAGAGTGTGTTGTGGATTAAAGGGAAAACAGGCAAAGCTCAGCTGCCTGTGGATAATAGCTGGTCTCTCCACCGTGTGGCACCAAAGCCTTGCATTCACTTATTTAACAACTACCAGGTGAGTGCTTCCTGGGACTGGCATTGTCCCGCCCAGGGGGAATGCAGCTTTAATAAAGAAAGTTTCCTCCCTGGGGAACTCACATTCCAGTTGGATGTGGGAGGAGGAAGAGATAAGCAGACAATAATTAAGATAATCAAAATAGAGAATAGGGTAGGTTGTGGGAAATGGGATGGAAAATGCAGTAGGTAAGAATCAGAGTGACTGCAAATTTTTCTATTTTTAGGGATGGAAAATATCTTGAATGGAATAACTAGAGCCACATACTTTTCATAGATTTTGTCTGTTTCTGCAAGATTTACAATAAAATCCCACCACCATGCCTACGCCCTTGGGGACTGTTCAATGGGCCACTGGATTGTCACGCTGGGTCATTGCGAGGCACAGAAAAGGGCCATAGTCCTTGTCCTGCCCACACTGAGTTGTGAAAAAGGGTTTTTGTTGGGCTTGCTATCGGGGTTTCCCTTTTTTTTGATGCTCAGAGAATCTAAGCTACTATCCCAATGCCACCAAACTCACCTGTAATGATACAGGCGATACATGACACTCACAGGTTAATAGTCACATTGGTAGTTTTCTCCTTCTTTGGGTCTCCCCCGTTTTTCTCACTGAGGCTGTTGCCCAGGGTCGTACAGGTTACGCCCAGTAGAAGTGCATCCTGCTGCAGGGGCACTTTTTTCAAGTTCTCCGGTGATCTCCAAAGTGATTTAAAGGCCATTCGGTGAATTTTTGACTTAAGGTAATGGATTTTTCAGTAAATATTCTCAATTTAAAAAATAATTTTGGAGACAACGAGATGGAGGTGTAGGTAACCGTGGTCCCCGCCGCCTCCCGCAACATCAAAATTACAACTAAAACACAGACCCACCCTCACTCAGAACCTCCTGAAATCTGGCTGAACAGAAGCCCGACAACCAGGGAACTAAGGAAGCACCGAGACCGGAGGGGTGGAGACCCAGGCGGATCAGGGCTGGATCTTGGAGACTCGGCCTCGGGCCCACACCCGGTGCTGCGGGGTAAACCGGGGAGGACATCTCGGTGGTGGAGGTTTCCCGGAGGAGTGAGGGGTGTCAGCC